GCCCTACTGGCGCGCCCCGCACTGGATAACACTTGTGCTCCAGCCAGCCCCTTCATAGCACACTGAGCTGGGTTGGAGCAGCCTGGGGCTAGCAGGCTGACTCCCCCAGACCTCCTGCCAGCTGAGGCTGCTCTGACCCAGCTCACCATGCTGTGGTCCCAGGCACAAGTATAAACAGTGTGTAGGAGCAATAAACATGTGCAAATTGCACTGGAGTTTATTCAATCACATTAATAGCATGTGCAGATGCACCCAGAAAGAACTAACTAAAGCCTGCGGCTGTGCTCCTGAAGCTGGCACATGGAAAATTCCAAGCTCATTCATACAGAAGCATTTACTCTGGGAACGTGCTTCTTTCAAGCAATTCAGAACAAAGAACCAGCATCTTATTGGTTACACACCACTCTTTCAAACTGCTCCTCACCAACCAAAATCCCAAAAGGTAACTAAGGGTAGGCTACATGACACTTATGTGAATAGAGAGTAAAAAAGACTTAATAACTTTGAACTGTCCAGTGCACCTCAGCGCTTCTACTCCTGAACGTGCCAATATTTAACCTTATCCTGGCTTTATTTCTTTAGCTTGTTGTTTCCCCTCCCTCCCTCCCCCAACAGGCTGACAAAATTGTGGAATGAGAAGGGTTGTGAACACGGTTAAAAGAACTGAGTATAAAAGATAAAGTTTAGTACAACTTAAAATGCTCAGTGTCCATAAAGAGAACCTGGCATCTTATATAAAAATACACATTTTCAATCAGTGCTGCCTCCTAAGTATATTCTTAATTTAAATGGTTCAAACTGTCATATTTACTCCAATCCAAGACAACGGCTCCCCCTCCCAAAACAAGGAAGGGAAAAAGGCTCATTTTAGATTTGCATACTGGCCTGGGGCTCAGCTCTGGCTTCACCAAAGCCCAAAACCACAACTGGCCCCACTGCCTGCCCTGGGCCGAAGTGGCATGGGAGTGAGCACACAGCTAGGAAAGTGTGGGAGAGACCCTACAGGGCATAGGGGGAGGTACAAAGAGCCCCAGCTTGCCCTTCCCACCACTTACCTTCTGCTACCTTTTTTATTCTCCAACCTGGCCGAACCTAGAGCTGCCACTGCTTTCAACTGCCCTTGAGCCAGAGGAGAGCTGCAAGCAAAGGTAAGCACAGAGAGGGATGGGGGAGGGAGGTGGCAGGGGTCAGGCACAGACACAGGTTGGGGACAGGTGACAGGGATCAGGCACAGGCACATGTGGGTGGGTGCAAAGAGCATGGAGCACAGGCAGTAAGGGGCACATGGCAGGGGGTAAGCAGCAGGACAGGTGGCAGGCCCTGGCACAGGTGGAAGGGCAAGGGGCAGAGAGACAGGCAAGGAAGGTAAGGAACAGGGCCCTTCACATCCTGCTGCTGCTTTCCCTGCCACAGCAGCTGGGGGATGAATTTAAAACAACTCTCCAAAAGTGACATTCTATACATGAAAAAATATAACAAATTTATAATATTCTATGTATAGAGTTTAATTATTGGGTGGGGGGATCATCTTAAATTTGAAGCTGTCTATGATTCCGGTAAATAAGAAACTATTTTCCCACATTAATACTGCAGAGACAGTCTTGAGAAATTTCCTCCATCAACAAAATTACTGACTAGATTAGTAATGTAAGATCTTTATTACTGGTGATAATTCAGACTAGGAAAAAAGAAAAACAAGATTTCATTTAGACTGGTGATTGAATGCATCAGGTTGAATATTTATTCTGTGTCTGGAATGTATATGTACTGGATGGACCTTTGATTTGAGGATCTATTGATCAGCTTAGCTAATTACTACAGATTCACAAATACATATACACACAAAAAATGAACAATGGAGAATGGAAGAGGTAGAGCCAGATATTTTTCAGAGTGGGTTCATAGTTATGCACGCACTACTCAGGGAAGTGAAAAAGTAATGAATGCATGCACACTCATGACCAGTCAGACAAGCCACATACAGCTGTTCCCATTGCTAGAAGTGATTCCAGGAGAAGGAGCAGTACAGACATTCAACTTGCAACCATCCCCTCTCCCCTGTTCTCTGCACCTTCTTGAGACCAGGGTGTTCCCAGTGAGGGGAAAGAATGGGCTAATCCAGTCCTTTCATTACCAGGGGGACTCACACCAAGGACTCGAGACTGAGAAGCAAGCAGGGGTTGGCACTGGTCCCTCACTCAGGTCCCAGGGAGCCCACTGGACAAAATCCTGAAAATCAGGATCCCTTGGTGCAAGCACAATTCTTTATGCCTTCAGTTTACTGTTGGAAGTACACACTATCTCTCTCCAACTTCTTTAAGATAACATGCACCACACACATTAAGAGAAACAGTATGGTTAAAGAGTGGATATTTGAAAAGTGTTCCCTTCAAAGAGATCACTGAAGAGTATCAATAGTGTCATTTCCTAATGAAGTATTTAGCATCTAAATATTTACAACTAATCCTTTTAAGGACGTAGAAAAGTAATTTAAACACTTACTGGCAATCATTATAGTTTTTGAGTTTCCTCCTAGGCTGTCTTTCAACAGCCAAGTCAACACAGAGTCCCTGTAAGGCACAAATACTTGCTTCTTCTTTGCAAGAGGATTTGTTACATCCTGAGATAAATCAGCTGATAGAAGAAATAAAAGTGATATGTTTTCATTAATTTTCTTAAAATATTAAAATACTGGTATAAAACCAATGCAGATAGATATGAGGGCACTTTAAAAAAAGAGAGAGGGAGAGAGACATACCTAAGGCAGAAATGACATTTCCCAGAGTAACTAAAGATTTGTTAATATTCCCTCCTTCTTTTAATCTAACCCCTGTAGCACCAGTGGCATCTGCTCTCTCACTTCCAGCAAGATCTACCAAATGAATCTTGCTAACAGTCTCACAAGGCATTTCAGAATCAAATTTAGCCTAAAGAAAAATACAAAAAAAAAAAATCATTTTCAAAAATTGTTAAGCTACAAAGCTCTGAAATCTTACTGAATACAGATCGATTGCCTTTCCTGTGTCATGTTTTAATGTAATTTGCTTAGACTAACAGGACTTCAGAGAACAGGTATACAAGAAACAGGCTAGAAAGGAGCTTGAATGATCACAAACCGCTACAAGATATTCATTTAAGTAACTTATTCTACAAAATAGGTACAAATAACCATATCCCTTAAACATACATTCAAACTTAGGTACCACATATACTGAGCTGTATACTATAACCTACATATAGAATTTATATTAAGCTTTTAGCAATAAATCTAGATGTTACCTAACACAGTTTTTATTCATATTTCCAAAAGCCCTATTTTGCAGGAGCACCCTCATGATTTTACATTTCTACCCCTAAGATCTTAACCACAACTTCCTCCTATTTCTAAAATTTAATATGAATCTGTTAATACAAATTTAAATTCACAGAATCCCCACAATACTCAATACATTAAGATAATGTGTTGGCTAGCTTCTTATCCTTCTCCATAAGATTTCAGCTGAATAATTCATTGGGGCACACAGTTTTGACAAAATGAAGAAGAAAATCGTACATTCAGGCCAGCATCTTTCCTCCCGGGCCATGGACAGACATGCTGTTTGAAGAGCTCCAACTGCCTCTGAAGCACTACAAACAGCCAGGGTATAGACATTCACACCCCACTAAGTGCTTCAAAAATGACCCATGAAAAAAAGAGAGCATTTCTGAAGCACATGCCTAAATAGTTGTACCTTCCATCAGAGCCCTATAGGTGTTTGCACAATCTTCCCACAACCAATAATACTCCACTTTCCACTTATCCCTACAGGGGGAAAATGTGACAGAAGGTTCTTGGAAACCTCCAGATATGGAAGACAAAGACATGTATGAATTCCTGTTCTCTATCCCCCTGCCTGAAAAGCACTAGCCCTACCTGCGCGACCATTTTGAAATGCTCAAGAAAGGATTGGGGAGGGAGTTGGGGGAAAGGGACCATGCATCTGCACAAAGCTGAAGTGCAAACTGGAGTACTTCACCTGTTCGTACCTGATAAAGTGACTCTCAAGTCCAAGTTTCCAAACAGACAGTAATTGGTAAAAGCCTACTTTCAACAGTCGACTACTGCTTTAACTTTTCTCTGCTACAGTCAACAATAGAGGTAACTAGCTCTCCTCAAGCTGTTGATCTGACAACTATATATTCCATTTAGTAAGTTAAGCTGTTCCATGGAACTGAGCATTCAAGTCAGAGCAAGTCTCTATACCTGAGTGAAGTTGATCGTGAAAATGGCATGAGACCTGCTGCTAACATCGTTCATTCCAGTTGCAGCAGTGGTTCGGTTTATATTTCCTGCTTCCATAAGTTCCTCTACATCCGTATAATTCTGTACTAAATGTTTGGACAAATCTGAACAGAAGCAAGAGCGATTAAAGAACATTTATGAATGTATGGCAACAAAATTCAACTCTGCCACAATGCTATACAGCAGAGCTGCAATTTCACAGCCAGCATTTATAATAAGATTTCCTTTATCTCTCTTAAAGGAAGGCATAAGGCCTTGCATGAAAAATACCAGACAGTCCTTCTTAATACACTGCATATAATATTATATTGAACAATATATTTATTATAAATACACTGCAGTGGATTAGCCTACAGAGAAAAATGCAAACCTTGTTAAGTATATAAAGCAGGTAGATGTGTACTCTTTCAAGGGACACAAACCTGCATTTCTAAATTAGATCCAATATTGATTTGAAATCACAGATTTCCTATGGCATAGATTTCCTACTGCAAAATACTGCTTTACAGGTTTCCCTCACTTTACGCAGGCTCTGTATGTGCGAATTCACTCTTATGCGATGACCTCTTTTATGCCAAAAATTTATTATATGCGAGGTAAATTCACTCTTATGGGATCAGTGTGGTGGAAGCCCGCAGTCAGCTGCTTTGTCTGCGGCACTGTGGAAGTGACACGCACCAAAATATACTCTCCAGTGTGGATCTGTGCTCCTCACTCCTTGTCTGCAACGCGATTCTGTAGTTGCCATCCCAATTATGACTTCTAAACATCCCGCTGATTTATCTCTCTCTTATCCCTCTCTCTGGTTCTGTATCTCCTACTAGTGATGCAAAGTCTGCCACTGAAGATCCTTCACCACCCTCTCTTCACACCAGCTAAACATTCACTACCACCCTGTGCTTGTGTGCACTGGCTGCTGTTGGGGAGTAGCAAAATTGTCTTGTAAAAGGGGAAGAAATGGGGCTGTGGGTCAGTACAGTTGAGGTCTTGGAATGCATCCCTATTTGTTACATTGTAAAGTGGGTTCCCTTTATGCGAATTCGAGTTATGCGCCGTTTTCCAGGAACAGCATAAAGCAAGGGAAACCTATACTTTAAAAGGGTTCAGAATAAAATAAACCCCATTCCCCATTATGGTCTTAGGATGATGATCCATGTTATTCTTCATTTTCACATCTATTTACAACTTAAAAATAAGAGAAGGTTATATAATTAAACATAGAAACTGAAAGTATCAAGGAAGTTCAAAGGACTTAATTTTTTACCCTCAACATAAGGCCCTTCTTTTGGATGCTCTCGTATTCTTAAATTATATGTTTTTGAAGACTTCCGCCTAAGAAGATCTCTCACACGTTCATTATAGATTTCCAAATAACTGAAAAAAAAAATTGGAATTCAGAAAAGTATCAAATTATACAAATTTTAAGAGCAAAAATTACTGACAGAATAAGTTTGTAATGAACTAACAGAAGGGAGATAGAGGGGCACTAAAAAAGCAAGTCAGGTTAAGACTGGCTATTTATTTATTTATTTTTAACATAATAAAGATTAAAATATGCTAGATCTGTGAGAAGAAAAGAGACAGAAAAATAAGAGTAAGGATGTGAATGAACACGTGAAAGAGCAGGACATGGGCTGGGAAAAGGCAACTGGGACAAAGATGCTTTTTAACAGAAAATTATTTTCACATCATAAATAGAGGCAGATGCAATGGGGGAATAGAGAACTACTGAGCACATTTGATGACCGCATTCAACAAAAATCTGTTTTGGGGATAAACATAAAAAGATGCATTCAAACAAAACACATTTTTCCAAGAGATACTAAAAAGTGAAAATAGAGGTTTGTAACAAAAATGGCTTTGTTAATCAGCAATTGACATAACAACCACAAGACCTACCTGACTTCTGTTCGAAAGGACGCCTCATTCCATCTTGTCTTTTCATTTATTCTGCTGAATAATCCTTCACAAATTCGAGGTATTAAACCAACATCTCCCTGCAACATAATTTTTATATGCATATATACTTAAACACACTGCGTATTTTAAAAGAAATAAACTCCCCAAATCATAAGATGCAAGTGACAATATCCAGAGTCAGAGAACTTGATATACAACAAGCGAATTTTTAATAGCTGTATTCTTATTCTATTTCACTTTAAAAACAAATTAGAAATTAAGTGTTGCAATTTGAATCCTAGCACTAACTCGATGGTTTTGCCTATACTTTATAGCCTTCCTGCCCACACACATTCCAACGATTTGAAGCAAAAATGCAACCCAACAAATAAAAACAGTTTTTCCAAAGCATCGTTCACCCATCTTAACCATGAGTCCATTGCTCACCTATAACGCCACCCATTCACTACACACCATCCATTGTTTGCAGTAAGAGGTTCAAGCCCTCTAGATAATGGCCCCCTTCTCTACATAATCCTTAGTCATCCCTGAAATGTGGTTCTTTCTGTACACTACGTGAGGCTAGAGTTTTGTAGGTAAGAGTATGTAACACCATACTTAAGACATATCTACAAGGGGGACAACCTAAAACAACCATAATTCTGATGTCTTTACTTCTGAGTGCTTGAGTTTCCAACCTGCTTTCAACAGTTGTGTGTGTGCAGTTTCCTTGGATTTTAAAAAGCAAGGAAACTCCATCACAGGGAATCATGCTATAACCCACGTGACTCATCAACATAGTGGTAACCTTCATATCCAATGCACAGACCTCTGCCGCTTGAACTAACAGAGGAACCCATCATCTTTTATATAAAACAGCTACTAAAGGGGTATGAGACATACCCTGCCAGAGGGTGTCACAACAGAAGACCGCTGAGATACCAGGCACAAGACACAGCCCTTTTGTTCTCCATTTTTTCTCCTCAAACCTGATGCTTTCTGCCTACTTCCTTTCCAGTCTATCCTATGCTAGTCCTGCCTCTTCTAAGATGCCACCCACTCATGCCAGACTGTCCTCCCACCAATCTCTTCCCACTCTCAGTCAGCTTCAGTTCTTCTCAGGCCTCCTTATTCTTCCTTCCTTCCTCAGCTAGACCCAACCCACTCCCCCTGTCTAGTTCCCCCAGAAGTATAGCAGGGTAACACCACAAACAGAGCAGCTTCAGCTCACTAGGCACCACCGCCTGCTGTGCCATCAGCACTGGCCCGGCCAGCTGCAATTATTTTTTGCGTGTGATGTATTTAAAAAATGTGATACCCCAGGGCTGCTGCCCCAGATCCTCAGGTACATTACTGGGTACCCATATAATTCATCTTTGCTGCCCACCTCCCACTCTCAAATTTCCACTGTCTGAATTTCCTCCCTGTACTTGCAGTCATGGCCTTTCCATCCTGCCCATTCCAAGGTGCCCTCTCGCCTTGATACAATCTAATCCCTCCTCTCTTTAGCCCACCTCCTCATCCCTCTGTATTTCAGTCAAGGAGCCATGCCTCTTTTCCTTTCTCAGAGATTTTTTTACAGACTTAAAACTGAACCATATCTGGCTAACAGAAAGGCTGCCATGCCCTGCCAAATGCCTAACTCCCACTCCAAAGCTTCTTTCCATTTTGTTTTTAAACATGACTTAAAAATGCTGTCTCTTTCTTAGCAAATAGTAAGCAGCTTTAAGTAAATCTTTCAAGAGAAGTTTAGCCTGAAGCAGATGATGAATATGGAAAGAACCAGCCCATCTAATTTAGATTTAATATAGTTATAAGCAACTAAAACAGGGTCTTAAAGCAAGAAATGCTGGGCAAGCAGGAACACAGACAGCTCTACTACATTTAAAATAAGTATAAAATCAAGGAAGAATAAAAATGGATGTACCAGGTAGCCATAAATTTATTTTCTTATGTTTTCCTGTCAGTCATATAGATATATTTCTTATTAAAATTAACTAAACATTTACACACAAGTCTAAACCAGCAGGCAACCTACAAGCAATTACAGTAACACATTACCACAGTCTTTAATCCACAGCTTTTAATTTTGCAAATTAAACAGACTATTGTAATTCTGCACTGCGGCTCCTCCCATGGATCACAACCTTAGAATCATAGAAAATTAGGGATGGACAGGACCTCAGGAGGTCATCTAGTTCATCCCTCTGCTCAAAGCAGGACAATCCTCAACTAGATCATCCCACCTAAGGCTCTGTCTAGCCGGGTCTTAAAAACCTCCAAGAATGAAGATTTCACAACTTCTCTGGGTAACCTGTTCCAGTGTTTTACTACCCTCCTAGTGAGAAAATTTCTCTTAATATCTAACCTAAACTTCCCTTGCTGCAACTTGAAACCACTGCTCCTTGCTCTGTCATCTGCCACCAATGAGAACAGTCTAGCTCCATCCTCTTTCAACCCCCCCTTGAGATAATTGAAAGCTGCTATTCAATCCCCTCTCAGTCTTCTGTTCTCCAAACTAAATAAGCCCAGGTCCCTCAGCCTCTCCTCAGAAGTCATGTGCCCCAGCCCCCTAACCATTTTTTTGCCCTCTGCTGAACTGTCTCCCATTTGTCCATATCCTTTCTGTAGTGGGGGGCCTAAAACTGGACACATTACTCCATATGTGGCCTTATCAGTGCTAAATAGAAGGGAATAATCATTTTGATGTGGTAGAGAGGTTTGTGTGTCTTGTACTGGAGTCTTATACTCCTGGTACAGTCACCCATGGTGGCAAGATCAAGGGCACGGTTTCTAAACTAATAGCAATCCAAAAACAAAAATTATGAAAATGAAAGAAGCAACCAAGGAAGAGGTTCAATTATCAGTTGCTTGAAAGACCCTGGTAAAAGCAATCATCTTCTGCAGAGCATCAGTGAGAAACTTTCCCACCTCCCTAATGATCTCAACACCACTGATCAGTGGAAGAGCCTCAAGAAACGCATCCACAAGGCATGCAAAGAACCTCAAGGCTTCTCCACAAAGAAACATCAGGAATGGTTCAATGAGAATGACAGAGAAATACAAGCTTTGACAGAAAAGGGACAGACAGCCTTTAAAGCTTGGCACAATGACATCAACTCCAAACAGAAGCAAGACATTTGTTGCCACCTAAACTGAGATGCAGAGGAAAATTTGAGAGCCAAAGAATAAGTGGTGGGAGGACAAGCCAAAAAGAGATTCAAGTTTACCCATAGCCAGGACCAGTTTCCTCAGTGCAACCAAAGCTATCTGTGGTCCAAACAAACAAGACACCACTCCTCTGGGGTCCAAGGACAGAACAACATGCTTTCAAGACCGCTCAACCACCAACACACAGTGGAAGAAGCACTTTCGAGAGCTCCTGAGCTGAGATTCTAATGTTGAAGACAATAACTGAGACCATTCCATGGCACCCCATTAAGGATTATGTTGCACCAGCTTATCAAGAGGCCTTGAAAGCCATCAAGCAGATAAAAAACAACAAAGCACAGTGATCCTGATGGAATACCAGCTGAAATTTATAAGCAAAGTGGAAAAAAGCTCCCACCTAATACAGTTATTATGAAGAACAGATTCCCAGTGACTTGAGAAATGCCAAAATCATTACCATATTCAAGAAAGGAGACCGATCAGATTGCAGCTATTACTATGGTATTGCACTTTTGTCCATAGCTGTGAAAGTCCTTGCCTGTATTCTCCTCAATACACTCACTTTCGTCATTGAGGAGCTTTCATCTGAGTCCCAATGTGGTTTCAGACCACTTAGAGGTACAGAAAACATGATTTGCTGCAGAAGGGCTGCAAGCAACACCAAGATCTTTACACAGCCTTCACTGACCTAACTAAAGCTTTTGATTCAATCAAAAGAGAGGTCCGGTCGAGGATCCTGATGAGATCTGGATGTTCAAGAAAATTTGTTACCATCACATCAGACTACATGATGACATTACAGAAAGCATCTAAGGAATAGCTTGAAAATGGATCCTTCCACTATTAGAACTGGTGTCAAGAAAGAATGTGCGATTGCACGAATGTTCGTTTCCGTCTGTATGACAGCTCTTCTGCATCTTATTGCTGGCAGACTTCCACCTGGAATCAGCATCCAATCACATGGACATATCTTTAGAATTAACTGGTTACATTCCAGATCCAATACAACCAACACCTCCATTACTGATCTTCGATACATGAATGTCTCTCTTGTGTGTGCCCACTCAACTGAAGAACTCCAGGTCACTCTTGGTTGTTTCTGTGAAGCATATGAAATGCTTGGACTTGTTGTCAGCCTCATGAAAACCAAGATTCTTTACTGACCCACCCCAAACCATCCAGCTGCTCGTTCACATATTACAATTAAAGAACCATCCTTGGAGAATATTGAGCATTTCTCCTCCCAGGGTAGCCACAGTCCCAAAAAGTGAACATAGAAAACAACATTCAATACTGTACTGGATAAAAATCTGCCAGTGCTGCCTTTGGACATCTCCAAAATCATATCTTCAGTGATCATAACCCAGACCAATCTTCTCAGCTACCAGGCTATTGTCAGCCCTACATTGGAAAAGGGTGTGAAACTTGGATGGCATATTGAAACACATGGGAACTTTGGAACATTGCCATCAGCACTGTCTTTGGAAAACCCTCAGTATCAACTGGAAGGACAGAAAAACAAATGCCAGCATTCTGGCTCAAGCAAACACCACCAGTATTGAAGCCATGTATATATGGCACCAGCTCCATTGGACAGGATACGTCTTAAGGATGCCTGAAAACCAGTTCCCAAAATAGGTCCTATATTCCCAACTCACTGATGGTTAGTACTGTAGAAATGGGCAAAAGAAGAGATTCAAAACACCATGAAGGCCAATCTGAAGAAATGTCATATTAACAACAATACCTGAGAAACTTGATCACTGAATTGTCCCCAGTGGTGCCACAATGTACAACAAGGCATTGCCATTTCAAGCAAACTCACCTCACTATGGAGGCAGACAAAAGATAAAGGGAGAGAGCCATGCCCTGTATGTACTCCCTCCTGACAAAAATATTCTTCTGCAACTGAACTAAACATGCAGATCTAAGATTGACCTCCTCAGTCATTTATGGACTCACCACTGACTTCCCGATTTTACTGGAAGACTATCAGCCTCTTATCAAGGAATTTTCAATAACACTGTGGCAGCTGAGTGCTCAGTCATACCATCAAGAAAATAAGCTCTGCCTGCTCACTGCACACATAACAATGCTGAAAATGTAGTAGTAAGGACAAACTCAGGACATACCCAGAGCACTGGGAGATGCTCAAATAATGATGGTTTGGGATCTCATCCCCAATCCCAACAATCATGCTTCCTGCCATGCTGTATATCACAGGACATGCCATTTTCAGGATCAGGGACCAATATGAACTGCACCTTATTTGAACAGGAACCTTGCAAACCAATTGTGCTTGAAAGATTCCTAGTGAGGGGCTCTCCATGACTGGGCTTGTTGTCTGCCTTGCCCCCCCAACTCCTATCTTTAAAATACGAGATTAAGGGAAGTTCTCAGCTCCCCCTACTAGGAACCTTGCAACCCTTGCACTCAGCAGCCCATTTTCAGTATCGGGACTAGGGCTGTCCCAGTCCTGATGCCAATGCTGACAATTAGCTGTCTGTCAGCATCAGGATGGGGATGTGTCACATGTTCCATTTATGGTGCCATACAAACCAGGTATGACCAAGTTCCACATTTTATGTAGAATATCATTGTGGCTGGTTTGCCACTACATAGCACCATAAATTGGTCGAATGCATGGCAATGTTACTACTTCTGGTGCTGTTAAAGTGTTAATCATATTAACACTTTAATATTGTCCTGGCACACACCAATGTAATGTGTGCCAGGACCCCAGAAATACACTCGTTCTATTTTTCTGGTGCTCTCAAGAGTGACAGTATCTTCACTACCCACTTTCTGGAGTTAATGTATGTAGATTGGGAGCAATTTACTGAGACTCATTTCCTCAGCAGTGAGGCTGAGCACTCTACGGCCACAGTAGAGACATACCTTTTCTGTAACTTCTTCCAAATGCAATTAGGGCACCTTCATGAAGTTGACAGCCATTGCATATTTGGTAACAGCACTTTAAACCCAAAGGCAGTGATAACTCCCTCAAATAGTTTATGTTTAAGGAAACACATGAAAAAATGTACTTTTAACACACGTTTTCTTTAAGTGCTGTCTAGCTGAAAGCGCCAGTCATTTAAAAAATCTGACCTGAGACTCTGGGAGGCAAGTAGATTATATAACCTAAATGTTCAGAGCCAAATTAAAGCATTTATGATGCACAACCAAAACTATTCTCAACAGGGTTAAAGTAACATTGCCACTTACACCTTTACACAATCTCTTGTGCATAATAGTCCCTACATTTACAGGAAGTCTCACATGTTCTACATGTTCCTTAGCACTCTATTTTCATCATTTTAGATACCCAAGTCATAATTTTTTTTCTGGCCTCTACATTCCACTCTGTTAATTCACCATAATGGAGACTCCTCATAACATTATACATAAAGCTTATTCTGTGTGTACCAGAGGTATAAAAATGAAGCCAAGTTTGCTCTTAGCAGCTCAGGAAGGTTCAAATTAGCTGGCCCCACTATAGCTCAAAGACAGATTTATCCAAAGTAGGGTAAGTGGCAATATTTTCTCCCTGGCTTCTGCTAGAGGATGGCAGCTTTTATTTAACCAGGGTTAAAAGGGAGCACTGCTACAAGGACTACCTCTTAGATGCACCCAATCAGCAGGCTTTGGCTGCTCCCTTCACCACCTTCCTCAGCCACTTCCTTCTTTCTTTAAGCAAGTATTTCATACAATAGAGGCAACAATCTGGTACTGGACATTCCCCTGTTAGGAGCCCAAAGCTACAGTTTACCTGAATGTTAGCCCTTAAAGTAAGGTCTGCATAATATTTCATAATGACTGAGTCAGAGCTTCAACCCACTATCCTCATTCTTATTTCAATTCTCAACCTGAAATTCTTGTCCAAATAGGAATCAAGGAACCATCTTTATTTTTCTTAACCCCACTGAATGAGGGAGGAACAAATAGGCTTTTACAGAAAGCACTGACTCAGTACCAGTATCATAAAAAAATATATATTAGGGTCACTTCAAGTTAGCCACCTGAAACCGGTCACTGAACTAAAAACTGAGTTCTGATCTGTGCTGCACAAAGGAGGGTTTATTATTAGATATAAAAGGGCAACATTTAAATGCATTTCTTCCCATTTAAAATTTCTTCTACAAAAACTAAAAGGAAATGTCTAAAACTCAGGTTATTTACAAGTCAGTCATAAAATAAAATCCACAGTTTGCAGACCGGATATGGAATATTATAATTCCTTTTGAAATGCTACATAATAAAACTAAAAGTTTGAAAATACAACATACTGTGTTTCCCATCATAGTGTAGGACTTCCCAGATCCAGTCTGTCCATATGCAAAAATACAAGCATTATAACCTTCAAAAGCAGATTTGAGAACATCTGTGCCAAGATTTTTGAAAACCTAAAAAGAAAAAAAAAAAAGGCTTTTTTAAGGGGATCATGCAGTTTTGAAGAAAAGAAACAGGTAAACGTTTATTATATTATTCCATTCAATTAATAATTGTAAATATTATATAATACCATGGCTCTATTAGCACATACCACCTTTGACCAAAGATATTTGCTCTAAATGAATAAGCATCAAGGAGTCTAATGTAATATAAAATGTTAGTGGTGCATTCAACTTTCAGTAGTGCCACAGTCTTTTTTCCCCACTTTTGGTCCTGTCAACTGCATAACTTGCTGACATACACAATTGGAAAGAAACTTTTAATTATGTCAGACTTCCCCCTCTTCAATTTTTTCATCTGATCTCAGACACTGTATTGACTATCTTTCTATCTTACTATTGTAAATACCTACTTAACTCTGGTATCTTCTCCAACTATAAGGACTCTGCTCTGCAAGTGTCTACTCACTTCCTAAAAAGAAAATCTTTCCTTGATCCTGTCAGCACATTTCATATTTAATGGCTTTGTTCCGCCAAGACTATGAAGCAAGTAGTCTTTTCTTCCTCTCTCACCAACAGCACCTTTGAATTCAGTCTTAGTTTCCGTGTGTTTAGAAGCACAAAAACTGGTTTTCTATGTAGTCAGTGACCTTCTCTCAGACAGTCCCTCCTCTATCCCATTCTCTGAATTATGTGCACAGAAATACAGGTGTTCCCATCTCCTTTCAGCTATGGTACCAGTCCTATTTAGCTCATCCTAAACCCTCTTGCCCTGAAGTTTGATAGCAATGCAAAAGAGTATCCAAAACACTGTCCTCTGAATCTGATACAAGTAAAAGAGAAGCAGAGGATCAACTATTATCATGATTATAACAAACATGTTGGCTAGGATTAAAAATTAACATTGATGATACTTAACTATAACTTCTTTTGACACCTTCATAACTCTACCTGCACCTTAACAAAAAATCTGTAGCTCTGTTGTAGTCCTCTTCAATTACATAGCTCAGACCAAAGGGCTATTCTTAGATAATCTTAAACACAATTCACGCCCCCTGCTATTTTATTTGAAAAGTACTTCCTCAGTTAACTAAACTCCTGCTCCCCCTACCTCAATATCATCCTGAATTTTATTTTTCCATCCTTCAAGAGTGCTAGGCTATGCTCCATCTCACCATCTCTGCAATGCCTGTTGAAATTCTCATCTCTACTTAATGCTTCCTGTAGCCTTGGCTGGTCCTCAAATATCAGCTTTCTAGCTTATGCAAATCGTCACTAACCATTTTTCCACGTTCTCACAAAGGAGCAAGTACATTACTCTCAAAACTATTCCACCGACATATCTTTCATTTTAGAATCTAGTTAACAACTATTCCTTTTCAGAAACCCTCTGTGGGTTTGTTCAAACCTGCCTCATTCTTTTATTCACACTCTTT